TAAAAACTCTAGTAAAAAAGCAGCATAACATATGTATTATTAAAGATTCAAATTAATCATAAATCCCCTTACTTTATAATGACAACTCAAGATTCAATAAGCAGAAAAGGAATCCTATAATTGCCATAATAGCCTAATTATCCAATATAGTCCACACTATTATAGTATTGCTTTGCTCCCAAAGATAAATTTACTATTTATTACTTTAGTTATTTTGTGTTATGCGCTACACTATTTATTATCATTATTACATTCATTATTTTACAAAAATTTCTTCATGTGAGAAACTAATATCGTTCGTCTGATGATAAAATGTATAATCTTAAAAGAATCATTGAAGAAGAAATTGGTTTTTTACATTCACAAAATAATAAAAAAAAATGTAAAAGCTTTAATTATTTCAAACTCTCTTCAGCTATTAAAAACGGCAGCAAAATAACTTCCAATCAGTTCAATGTTAAATTCTTTTTAATATTAAAGATATAATATCTTTTGATTTCCTTTACGTCCATAGACGTTTTGTACTCTATGTAAAGCGTTTACATGTTGTATCTTACAAAAGAAATAAACACAAAAAAAGAAGCAAAAATGACAGTTAATTGAACAGAAGACAAAGACTGAAGAATTTGTAAGATGGGGAAAAAATTAGCTACGTATAGCTCCTCTGTCATATACGAATTTGTATGCGAAAATTCAATGATGAGTATCATCAACGTATCAGTGAATAACTGGGACAAATCCAATGGACGGACAAACCATGCCAAATCGCCAAAGCATGAATGACAACGGTGCCTGATATTGAAACGACAAAAAATAATAAATACCATGTAACGTAAAATTACAAATATAGATAAAATTCGAATAACAACTACTTTACATGCTACCTGTTTTGTTTGATCAGACGAACGTGATTGTTTCACAAACATGAAAATATTCCAAGAGACGATACTCGTAGACACAAAGGGAAACAAACAACAACAAAGCAGATTCAAACTACAAGATACTCGTACAATAAATATATTTTTACGATATACTTCACGTAATTGAATTGCACTTAAGATCGTAAATCTTAAATGAGCAAAAATTGAAAGATTTAAAAAGAGTAGATTAGAAAAGTTAAGAGAGTAGAAATTATGAATTATGGAGCCGTGATTTAGGAACTCCAGTACAAATTGTATGATCTCACACACAAGGTTTGACTGACCGAATGGTTTGTTGATTGGTTCATGGCTATTTGTTGAATTGGCCGAGTATTGTTTGATTTTTTACTGCTTTTGTCGAAAATGATTTTATTAGCTTAAAATTACGTCGTCTCACTTCCCAAATCTTCAAAACATAAAAAACGGTATATAAGTATTTATATGGTGTGTGAAAAAAATCTTCTTTATATATTTATCTACTTATTTTATTCATAGTTTAGTGAGAATTATCACATAACAAACTAAATTTGGTTATTTTCTTTAAACTACATTTTTTTCTTTGTTCCTTTCAAGCAAACTTTTTCTTTTTTGTTAAAATATATTAACTGAAGGTGTGCATTTGTAGCTTAGATACTTTTTTTCTGCAGCAGCAAGAGCAAAAACATAATATAAATTTATTTAACATTTTCATTTAACAATTGGCAACAAAACAGTAAAATGCCAACTGGTTTCACTGAAGTGTTTTCACTACAGACGGACATACTCGTATTTCTTTTTATTTTAATTATATATATTTGTATGAACACATATTTTCATTTCTTTTTTGTTTTATTAATTAGTTTTAAATATGCACAAATTTAAATATTTCACTTCAAAACTACCTTTTAACTACCTTTTTCGCTAAATATTCACAGAAATGCAAATAATTATTTTTCAAATTTTTTAAATGCCATTTTTTATTCAATATCTTAAACTCAAACTTCGATACGCTTCGTCAGCATTTACGACCTTTCATTTAAACACGTATTTTGCGACTGAAAAACGTTCACATCGCCGATATCTCTTGAGAATTTTATAAGCAACAGATACTTTTTTAGCCAAAAACAATAAAATCGTTCAAAACCACCATACAAATCTCACGCCATGCACTTGCCGATGTATTGTAGCTTTCAATACATCAAGCGAGGTTTTGTATCTTTATCTGGCAGTTTGCGCACAGCTGAGTGCGCTCACATTTTCAGATACCTTCATGTTATTGTTTTAAAGATCATTGAAACTACTCTTTGGATATTTTTCAAAGAGAATATGAATATATACACATAATATATGAATGTAACTCAATTATGGATCTATTCACAATGTGCGATGCATAAAAATTGTAAAAGAATTGCATTTTGAAGTTTTTCACTTAAATGTCATAAAAACAAAAAAATAAATCTAAGCATATTCTAATTTTATAATAAACGTACCTTGAAGCTTTAATATTTAACAGCTTTAACATACACTTGAAATCCGAAAGAGGAAAGAGTATTATAATAAAAGCGAGTATCATAATAAAAGTAAATGTACTTCATTAACATTAAGTTTTTTAAAATTAATAAATTAATATAGTGTAATTAACCGTTGTTGAAGAGTGATAGCGTGATATTATTTTAAATATTATTTATTATTATTTTAAATATTAGATATTATAATATATATATTTATATATATTATAAATATATATTTAGATATTATTTTAAACAATAACACTTATTTTGTATATCCTAAAATACATATATTACTACTGCTTCTTTATGGTTTTGTATAATAATTTCTAATATTTACACTTTAAATATAATATTCCATATTTTATATAAAATCAATTTTTACAATAATCTAATATTCGAATTTTTATTTAATTCGGTGTTCATAAAAAGTTATACATCTATATTTATTTATAATTCTCATCAGTTTGACAATTCTTTGAAATTAAAATGAAACGTTTTCATTTATAGCTTCGGCGCAAATGTTTCAATTGTAATACATGAATAGTGTTCCTATTGTGGTACTGGTGTAAATATAGTAATAATTTATTTGTAAGATGTAAATTTATGCATATTTGCTACTTTCTCTTTATGGCTATATATAATAATTTCTGATATTTACACTTCTAATATTCGAATATTTATTTAATTGGAAGTTGCTAATAAAGATTTAAAAATCTGTTTTTCTTTACAATTTTCATAAGTTTAATAATTCTTTTCGATTATTGCCATTATCATAATCTAATATTCGGATTTTTATTTGACTTAAATTTAAAAAAAAATATCACATTTTTATTTTTAACTTTATTTAATATTTATTAAAATGATTTTGTTCTTTTATAACACCGTTAATACTAAAATATGTTCATTTATATTTCTGCAAGCTAATATTTATTTATTTAATAGGTTTATATACAGTACTTAAAAAAAAAATTAAATAAATAACGATTATTTGATATGTAATCATCATGACATATAACAGTTAAATTATATTCAATATAAAAATTAAATTATTTAATGAAATTATAATGTATAATAATAAGACTATATATATTATATATATAACTAAGAAAAAGTAACTTAAGCGAGCACGTATTACACTCAGATTTGGTCATACAACAACATGTCCATTGAAATGCTAATTTTGTGCCAAATCTGATGTGTAATAACAATATTTGCAGGTCTCACAAGTTGGATGAAAATTAATATATATTTTGATTTTTCGTCAATCGTGCTCTTTTTTTTTCGTATACAATCGGATTTTTGTCGGCTTGCAAGCAAATTTCAATCCGCTTTCAGTCATGGAAGCGAAAACATCGCTTCTTTGCGCGCATGATTTTATTTTGTTGTGTAATTGTAGTATTCTTTGTGGATAAGTGTTCAAAATAATTTTGACAGTGAATGATGTGTAATAGCAAGGGACGTCGCGCAAACTCAACATTTAAGAATACCCGTTGACTTGGGTATTCCGCTTTAGAATAAATCAATATTTTTTTAAAAACTAAAAATTTTTTGTGTCAATAAGTTATAATATATGCACTGAAGAAATAGTTTTTTGATAGAAAAAAGTTCATTACAATTTGATTCATACTAATTATTGTTAAAAGAATTGTCTATAAAGATTGAAAACCCATGCTAAACTCAGTACACTGATTTCCACAGTGTGTAATCATGTCCAATGAGTGCTTCATATCATAAGAGTTGCCTGTCAGTTTGTCGATACGATCCTTTTGAAGTAGTTGCTCTTACCGATGCATCTTATTGCCAATTTCTCAAAACTCCTCTTTATTTTCGAAAGCATCTTATCAAAATTGTCTTTAAAAAATCCGTTAATACGGAATTTTTGAAAAGTGTTTTAACCGATTAGCCTTATATTACAGATAGACGTATATTCTCTTCATATTAGATTAATTTCTTTATATAGTATAGTATACGCTAAAAACAAAATACTAAATATATACATTTAAAATGAATTTTTTTTTTAATAAAGCAATTTGTTAAAGTTTAGATATATGGAATCTTTTAAGGAAATATGAAAACTGTTTTCGATATCTATATATGTATATTATTATATATAATGTAAGTCTCATGAAATATATATGCAAATATATAATAAAAATCTGTATATAAATGCACTAAAAAAATTTAATTAAAAAATAAAATAAAAATGTGCTAAAAATAGCTGTATTAAAGTATCAGCTAACAGCACTACAAACACAGAAAGAACGTGAACAAAAATTATAATATAGACTAATATGTAACAAAACTGTTCGTGTTGAAATTATTGAAGCCAAAATCCATCGCTAGTTTTTGAATATTATAATATATTAATATAATATAATAATAAATAAAAATAATAATAAAACAAAGTTTACTGTTCGAATCAGTTATGCAATTTTAGTTGTATAAAGTCAGTTTTCGATGATAGACAAGTGTAGGTTTCATTTTACTAACCAATAACTATAAGAGCAATACTATTTTTAATTATATTTTGCCAATGTTTAATGCATATAATTTTATTTATAATTATTTATTTTTACTTTTTATGTTTTTTACTTTTATGTGATTTTTCTCTTGACTTTTTTAATTTCTTTTTATCTCTTTTCTTTTGCTTTTTATGTTCTTTACTTTTACTTTTTTTTGTCTTTTTAGACTTTTTCTTATGCCTGCTAATGTCACTGCTTATAGTACTGCTACTACTATTAGTATCAGTATCTGAGCAGTTTGACTTCTCCACCCATTCCTCCACAATATTCTTTTCGTATTTACTCATTTTTCTGTTCATTATATGTTGTAGAATTTTTTCGTCAATACTAGTATTATGTGTGTCATCACTATCACTTAGTTTCTTTAATCTATCTGGAATTTTTGGCCCGTAGAAGTCAGATTCTTCTACGTTCTGCGAAGAACTACTTTCCATACGTTCACTCTTTGACTTGAAAGTTATTTTATCAGTGTTTACCTTGCCAATCGCTGAAACCTCAGAAATCGTTGAAGTCGTTGTATTTGTTGTATTTGTTGTATTTGTTACATCAGGTTTTATATCCTTTTCATTTTCTTCACTTAGTTTATTAAAAAACATTGCAAAAATGCCTCTTGGTGGAGAGTTATTCCTTAGTAAATTAAGAGCAGCGGAAGAATTTGGTTTAGTGAAAATTGTTTGGGGTTCGTCAGCAATTTTTGTAGATTCTTCACATTCTTTACTATCATCATCATCTTCATTTTCATCATCACTATCCTCAAAAATAGCTTTAAATAGTTCTACTTTCTCCGATGCTGGTTTGTTTTTAGTTTCTATCACTTTTCTTTCCAATTCTGTTTTTGGCGGATTAACGGTGCGATTAGTTGCTAACCCTACTTGTTGACTTATAGATTTATTTTCCGTTATTGGGATTTCAACTTGATCAATCACATCGATTTTTGGAGTTTGAGTATATAAACTAATATCAGTTTCTGCGTAGTAAGAGGGCTCATTTTGTTCTTTCATTGGTTTTGGTTTATCAATTCCTTTTGGAATTATAACAGGCGTTTCGAAATTTGCTTTTGTATTAATTGAACCTTCAAGGTAATCAAAAATTGAAATTTTTGGTTTTTGCGGTTGTTTTTCCTCTACCATTTTGCCACCAAAAGGTTCAGGCACATTAAAGCGTTTACACAAGAGTGCATTAGGTTTCCACATGGTTTTTGTACGTTCTATAATTATTTTTTTTACATCACCCTTAGTTATTTTATTTGCCTGTTTTTCGGCATCTAAAGCAGCTTCAGATATAAATCTGCAATATAAAAATATAATATTATTTGATGTAGTTTCAAAATTGTAAGACTTACTTGTCGAACATTAGTCCTACATTTGGTTTATAAATTTTACGTGCTTGTATAAATTCTTTTTTCTCCATTTCACGATCGAACTCTGAAAGTTGCAGGGGCTGAATTTTTCTAAGAAACTCCGTTATTTCGTCCTCATCTCTTAAATTTGCCGCTAAAAATTCTTCATAACGATTTTGCTTACTTTGATCACTAATAAATGGTTTGAATTCTCCACTTATTTGCGTAATTCCTGAATTTAAAATAGTTAATAATATAATTATATACTATTATAATATGAAATAATAATGACATACCTAAACTTTCACTCTTTTTCGCTACCTTTGCTATCATATTTTCATTTTCTTTTTGTACTTCAGGCTGGATTTGAATGTTTGGTACATCATTTTTTTCCTCTCCTTCGGAAGTTATAACACCGCCACTTGTGAAGCTACTGCTTTTAGCACTTATTTGCTCCAATAGTTTTAATGTCTTATCATTCCTTTTTTTATGATTGTCTTGAACATTTTTTAAAGACGATGTTGTTTCCTTTTCAGAAGTTATTGGATGCTCAGCTTTATTTTGTTTGGAATATGCAGGTTCTTCATTTAAAAGTTGTGTTCGCTGTTCGGGATTCATGTCATGTCTACCTAATCCGGACTTCTTCATATTTTTCTCAATATTTATTTGTTGTGCCCTAACTGGATCTAGGGGCGCAAAGCGAGTTCTACGCTCCAACCAATTACGTGGTCTAAAATCAATAGGTAAGTCAAGAATGAATGTAGTACCTTTTTGCATACCCTTTGTTGCTTCATCAAACCCATCGATAACTTTTTTGTTTTGTACAATTTTCTCAACTTTTTTCACGTGTTTCTTATTTTCTAAAGAGAAATCATATTTAGACATGTCATCACGTGCATATACATCTTCGTCTTCTTCTTCCAATGCGCCCACACCAAAAGCTTGACCAGTAATAGATAATTTTTTATTATTTTTATCCACTACTTCTAATGGACCAAAAAGATTAAAATGTTGACCGCTACCAATGCTTATAGTACTTTTGGATAGCACAGGTGTGCGGTTCAAGCCGGTATAGCCTAAACCATAACGGTTAGTTTTAATGGTGCAAAAGTAAGGTTCATAATCATCAGGTGCAAAAGTTATTTCATCATCGTCATCCTCATCCTCGTCCACTTCTGATTCATCACTTCCTTTTGGTTTTTCTAAAACTGAGTCACTGCCTTGTTCATTAATATCGCAACCATATCGTTGCATTAAATACAATTCACGTTCATTACGCTTTTTACTCTCTTTCTTTTGCTTTCGTGTTTGTCTTGGGCCAATACCTTGTCCTGGTCGCCAGCCCATGCTTTTTAAGATACGCACAGCCACTTTATCTTTTACAGGTTTAAGTAATTGTTGCAAAACTGGCACACCAGGTATTGATCCAGCACTAGGTTGCAAAAATTTTCGTTTTCTATTGCCTTTGTCATCTTGCACAAAATCTTCACGAGCCTGCACACGCTGTGGTGCTATCCCAAATTCACCTAAATCTTCATCATCCATAAAATCTTCAGGACGTTGCTTTTGCATTTCTGTTGCTTTTTCAGTACGAGAACTTTTGAAGCTTTGCGGTGTCCAGCCCTCCAAAGAACCCACTGTGTTCCAAAATCCAGCACTAAAGCCGCCTGTGAATGCACCATGAAATCGTCTTTTACCATTCTCATCTGTAACAATTTGTTCTTCTACAGTTATTGGCTTTTTAGAAGGTACTTCATCTGAAAGAAAATTATCACTAGTGGTCAATATGTGAAATAAGTGAAAATTAACGCACCTTCCTCCAATGGTTCTAGCGGTGTGCCATAGCGTTGTAAATTATCTTCTGTTTCCATTTTGATAATAATTATATTTTAATCGCATACAACTATTACATTACAACAATTATTATCAACAATTGTTATCAACAATTATTATGATTTTTCACAAATTTCTGTTTATAATTTTATCAATTTCACATTGCAAAATCAAAACAATATGAAACGTCAAATTGTAGCTGTGTTTCTTGGTATTTTAGGCGAAATGCCAAATGACACAAACGTCAGACAAAATTAGACCAGCAGCAACTGTCAAACTTGCAAGTCTTGTACCATCCTTCATTTATGTGTTAATATTATAAATTATATATGATTGATATTTAGTACTTTAACAAAAAATATTATAATATTGGAATAGAAGCGGCAAATAAACGAATTCATACGGTAAGTGATTATTCAAAGCTGAACAGGGTAGTGGCACTTTTCATGTCTGAATTTTTGAGAGCTGGTGACTAATTATTTTCTCTTTATTTTGGCTAAAAGTGTAATCGTCTATTGGCTGGACTACGTCATTTTACCGTTGCAGCACTAAATTATTTGCCTATCTAAAATTGTTTAAGTTGTGTAAGTAAAATATGTAAGTTTTTTTTTTTGAAAGTTACTTATTGGAATTATGAAACATTTTCTTTTAGTGTCCGCAATATCGACATTAAAACTGGCCTAAATGTCAGAGAAGAGCTTAAAGGTGGGCGCGCGTGTCGAGCTCACTGGTAAAGATCTGCAAGGCACAGTGGCCTATGTGGGCATGACCAGCTTTGCCGTTGGCAAGTGGGTGGGCGTGGTGTTAGATGAACCGAAAGGTAAAAATAATGGTTCAATAAAAGGTCAATCGTACTTTGAGTGCGCTGAAAATTGTGGCATGTTTGTACGTCCAACGCAGCTACGAGTTATAGCAGCTGCACCAGATGTTAAAAAATCATCTGAGGATGTTACAGATGCCAGCGGTGCAACTGCACCTACCGCCGCGCAACCCACTAGGGCACGGTTGAGCGGGTCACGCGCATCGCTCTCATCCAGTCGCCAATCTTTGCTGGGATCACGCTCACAACTATCCACTTCGTTAACAGAACGCAGTGCTAGTACAGCTAGCACAAATACACGTAGAACTTTACAACCACCGACGGCCACTTCCAAAATAGCCGTTTCTGCTTCAAATACCTCCATACCAACAAGCGACAATGGCGGTAATGGTGGAAGCCCTTCAATTTCAGCTTCAAAAAGAGCATCTTTTGTTGAAACTGGCTTTTTGGAGATTCTTAAACCACAGTTTACATCATCGCAACCTATGCGTTCACCATCCTTTACAGCACCTCCATCGAGTTCATCAGAAGATAAGGCGGCACTTGCGGAACAACAAAAACTTGTTGAAGAATTACGTACTCAAATGAGTGACCTCAACGAGAAGCTGGAAACATTGAAGCAACGTCGTAATGAAGATAAAGATCGTTTGAGAGAATTTGATAAAATGAAAATACAATTTGAGCAAATGCAAGAATTTCGCACAAAAATTATGTCTGCACAGGCACTCTTACAAAAGGAACTGCAGCGAGCTAAGCAAGAAACTAAGGATGCAATCGAAGCACGTGAAAGACATGCACAAGAAATGGCCGACTTGGCTGATAATGTTGAACTCATTACATTAGACAAAGAAATGGCTGAGGAGAAATGTGAAACCCTGCAACTTGAGCTGGAGTCGGCGAAGGAGCGGGTTGAAGAGCTACAGGTAGACTTAGAGCTTCTGCGTTCTGAAATGCAAAACAAAGCTGAAACTTCTATAGGAAATATTTCGAACGAAAGTTCGGGTATGTCGACGTATGAATTCAAACAACTGGAGCAGCAAAATTCGCGTCTCAAGGAAACCTTGGTGCGTTTACGTGATTTGTCAGCGCATGATAAACACGACATACAAAAACTTACCAAGGAACTGGAATTGAAGAAATCAGAAGTAACAGAATTGGAACGGACAAAGGAGAAACTATCAACTAAAATTGACGAACTCGAAGCCACAGTCGCTGACTTGCAGGTAAAACAATTATTTCTTGAAATTATTAACAAATCAGAGTGTTTTGTTTGATAAATGAGTTTCTGTTTATTGTGATTTTTATAATAGGCTTTTAGTGACATCCAAAATTTCCAAAATTTCCAATAAATTAAAATTAAAATTTTTATTTAGAAAATTAAACTCCCAGGTTTACGATTTTCATTATCCTAAAATTTTTGTTTCATTTCAAAGATATCATTAAATATGGCAATGTGCCTAATTGCATTTCTCTATTTCTTTTCTGGCCTACCAATGGGGTGCAGGAGGTAACAAAATTTCAATTTAAGTTTCACATTAAATTTAAGGTTTTGTTATTTCATTTCCAACACAAATCATTAGGATACAAAATTATTTTTGTTTTTATTTATTAGGATTAGGCCAGTTAAGTTTTGTTAATAATTTTTTGTATTTGTTATAGGAACAAGTTGATGCTGCACTAGGAGCAGAAGAGATGGTTGAACAACTAGCAGAGAAAAAAATGGAATTGGAAGACAAAGTAAAGCTACTAGAAGAGGAGATTGCTCAATTAGAAGCTTTGGAAGAAGTGCATGAGCAATTGGTGGAACACAATCATGAGCTCGAAATGGATTTACGTGAGGAACTCGATATGGCCTACGCTTCCAAAAAAGAAGTATTACGTGAGCGAGATGCTGCTATAGAAACAATATTTGACCGTGATCAAACAATCATAAAATTCAGGGAATTGGTACACAAACTTAATGAGCAGCTTCTACAATTACGTGATCGTAATGCTGAGAATGATCAAAAATCTCTACAAGATCCCAATACTAAATTTACTGCAGAAACGATTGACTATAAACAAATGTTCGCAGAGTCGAAAGCCTACACACGTGCTATTGATGTGCAGTTACGTCAAATTGAAGTAACACAAGCTAATGAGCATGTACAGATGTTATCAGCATTTATGCCCGAATCGTTTATGAGTCGTGGTGGTGACCATGACTCGATATTGGTTATTTTGTTAATCTCACGCATTGTTTTCAAATGTGGCATTGTTGTTAGTCAAACACGTGAACGTTTCCCTGCAGTTGACAACGTTTCACGTGAAACAATAATACAAGGTCACGCAGTGCAACAGTATGCATTCAAGTGCCGCCTTATGCACTATATACACAATTTGCAATGTGCACTGCATCAAATACTCTACGGACTTAACAGTTGCCAGCCAGATACTTTACTTCGTGCTGGTAGTTCCTTACCAGAAATGGTAGCTCAAGAAAAGACGATCGATGGCATAATTGAGCTTTTGAAATCAAATCAACTTGATGAGAATTCGACCACTGAGAACATTGAAAAGTGTGTGGCATTCTTTAATGCAATGAATTCTGTACTTTTGGCAGGTGAAGACTTATTAAATGAAACTCAAATGATAAGAGATTGTGTTGCGTCTCTTGGATCGGCCTGTGAATCCATACTAAATGATACAGCCATAGCACGCACTATTATACGTGAGGGCGGTAGTACAAGCGATTCTATTTTATTAATGCAATTCCTTAACGAGAATACGGAATCCATTAAGCAGCAAGTGAAGCTGATCAAACGGCGCTTACCGCAAGATTTGCATGTTATTAAATGTGGCCTTTCACAACACAAACTTGAAGGTATGCGGGTTGTGACACAACAATTGAGTCGCATAATGTCGGCAATGCATCAAGCTACTAAGCAATCGGTGCAAATTATTGTGGCTTCAATTGAAAATGATAATACTGCCGAGCATACAATTGATCACACAAAATTCTGGGATCTGCTCGCGCAATCATGCGAACGTATCTATGAACAGGATGATCGTGGACCGTCACAAAATTTCAAAGGCTTGTTATCACAAGCTAACAGTGATTTACAACATATAGCACAATATTTGTTAGATAAGGAATATGAAATTAATTCGACAGCCAATCAAAAGCAAGAAAAGCAAATATCGCCTATTATTTTGCGGGCACAGGTCATCAAAAAGCAGCTTGAACAGAAGAATGTTTTAGCGGCTACCTTAGAAAATCGCGAAGCTGACATAAAACAACTGAAGTTGGCTGCTAAATTAAAGCAAAACGAACTTTCGGAAATGCAAATTCGCAAAGATTTAGCGGAAAAGAAACTATCTGTACTGCAAAGCGAATATGAGCATGCTGTAGAGAAATGGAAACGACAGTACAATGAAACTGTTGAAATATTGAAAGAGAAAGAAAAGGAATTCGAAGATACTATGGACCACTTACAAAGCGATATTGAGGCACTTGAGAGCGAAAAGAGTACACTACGTGAGAAATTAAAGTTGAACACCGGCACCAAACGTGGAGCAGATTCATCTATGTCACCAGCAAGAGCTGCGCACACCTCAACTTCATTCAGCAGTGATGCACCTGATTCACCAGTTATTGCTGAGGAATTACAGCTGCTGAAAACTGTTCTTAATAATGAACGTAACACACGCTTACGATTACAAGCGCAACAAATACGAGAGAAACTCAACAAATTTGATCCCATCTTTGTCCCACAGCCCAAGGATAAACGTATTACAGAACTTGAAAGTGAATTAACTAAAATGAAGCATACGTGGGCACTTTCCCTGTTACAGGCCGTGCCAAAAACTGCTGTTAGTACTTCCAATTGTATCGCTATGCAACGGAAAAATCAACTGTTACCAGCTAAGACCGAGATCTCAGCGCGTGCTAACAACTTAGCATCGGAAATTTTAACTGAGTATTTCCAACGCAACCCACATCGAGCAGCGTCAAGTGAATTCGCTGCTTTTCCAACAATCGAGGTAAAGCAGATGTTAAAAATTTAGATTTGAATCAAAACTGGAATTGGTATCATTGATTTTGAAATAATTTATTAAATACTTACATACCAATAACAAAATATTTAGGAAAATTATATCAAGTATCTTTGTATACCCTTAAAGCTCTATAATCTAAATGCGCTTAAATTTATATAAGTTATGTATCTGTTCTAAAAGAAACATGTAATATTATTGTGAACTTATTAAAATATCTAAACTCTAATATTATTGCGATTAGTATTTTTGTTCTTTACGTGCTCTTTTATTTTGTATTCAGGCAATGTATTTTCCTGCGTTATTTAAGACTTGATTACTTATTGATATTACGTTTCCAAGTTATAAAAACAAAAAAATTTTAATGTATTCGATTTTTTAAATTAAATTTATTTAAATAAAAATGTTTTATAATAAATACTAATTTAATATTTAAATAATATTATTTCAGGCAATAACTTCTTGGTTTTAAATGATTTTATTAAAAGTTTTCGTCCTTAAGACTATGTTTATAAAAATTATACCGTAATTTTTATTTAAAGAATAAATACACAAATTACCGAAAGGTTTTTGTCTGGTTAATCGTTAAAAATCTATCAATTTTTAAGCCTCATCAGAGATGTGAGTTCAATTTTAATACTGAAAGTATAGTATTTTCACAACTTACTTTTTAATGTTTGCCATTCTAAGCAAGTTTTTCCACAACGCTATATCTTTAGGCCCTCTGCTCCACTGAAAGATGAGGATAAGAGAGAGAGAGATATGTAGATATAGTAAGATTCTCGAAGTAGTAGCTTTAAAATTATAAACTTTGTCCAAAAAAAAAACAGCTGAAGGCAACTAGTAGAAGTAATATAAACGACGATTAATAAGTCTTCTCGCTCGTCTAATTATATTCTTCATTTAAAACCAGATTTCTCTAAAACCTAAATAATACATCATTGCAATAATAAAGCATGACTAAAAAGAATGGCGGCTTTACAAAAGGTAATCAATTTTATGACTACGGCTCCTAGAAAATCATCAAGATGTGTATATCCAAGTATGACCATAAAGAGACGATGCTTTTTCGTTGATAAAACCAAATCACATTTTTTTACAGCATATGTATGTACGGTCGTGTATTGTTAAATCTCAGTAAAGTATTCATCAACGTTTATGTCCTATTTCAAATAAATAAACATTTGTCATATGCACTTAAGCGTTTCAAAGTTAATGTAATTCAAAGCTAAGAGAAGGAAAAGTCTCATACTTCTGATCTAATACTTCCGGTTTGACATCAGATAAAACCAAAAGTATTTTATTTATAATTGTACCAATGAATGTAATTAAATGAAATTCGAAAATACAAAATGAAATGAAAAAATTTTAGTCAGATGAAAGTTCCTTATCATCCATTCAATTGGTGATATGTAGTCTATTGCTCGAAGTCGTAAGGCAAGGATCAGTACATTGATATCATCATACATTAGTTATTTCACACATCCATATTTTCGTTAGTTTCTAAAATAATAGCGGAAACGCTGTTTCAAAACAATATGCCTTTATAATCTGATTAATTTGATTTATTTTTTATCTTCTTTAATGATAGTTTCAATTATTTAAATTTAGGTAATGTCGGTTTAATTATTTTTAATAAAGCAAATATAAGAAAATTGTTGAAGACATATTGGAACAACATATGCATAATAAGTAACAGATTTATCTTTCAAAAGCACCACAGGGCAAAATGTTATTAATTGTCTCATATTTATTGCTAAAAGTATACTGAATTGAACGATTTTCAGTAGCAATGAGAAATAACTATGCTCTTTTAAACAAATTTAAACCAATGAATCATATATAATGTTCTATGTAACAGATGATCTAAAGTATATATATTTTATAACTGAATTGAGATATAGATAAGTTCAACAATTATATTAGCTTTATTAGCAAATGAGAATTCGATGGATTATATATAATAGCTATATATCTAATTAAATTGGTCTGCGTTGGATTATTGTCTTTAGCAACATTAAGTCATACCAATTGAAAGAAAAAAAATTAGAAGAATTATACAAGTACCCATATACTATTAATGAGGTTCAAGTCATACAGAGTAAGATTAAAATTAAGGCTTTAAAAATATGAGGACGCCACCTAGAAATATGACGTTGACAACAAAAAATGCTGTAGCTAAAGTTTTGCCGAAATAGGTATGGTAAGAAATGCCATTGCGCCTTTTAAGCATATTTGGGTTTTCGGTACAAAATACATTAATTTTTTAATTCTTTATTTTAATCCTTTTCAGCGCATTTTTGTATTCGTAATTAAAATTCTCTCAATAATGAGTAATATTAAATATATACCAAAAACACAGATAAACTACTTGGAACTCAAAAAGGAATAAAATATAAGTTATTCCGAGATAAACAAATCATGGAGAAATGGAAAGCCTGCGTATTATCATTAGCAAAAATAAAATTCAAAAACTACTGGGTGTTCCCAGTAGTAGTAGTGGGTGTTATGTGTCAGCCAAATTGAGAAACTAGGTTTGTGGAAATTTATTTTTTGGAAAAAGTCGTAGGAATGTATTGCATAGACATACCAAACTACAATGGTATTCCTGTGATATTCTAGATAAGAAACTCGAACTGGAACTTTAATACTTTGGATGCAGGCACTATATTTGTGAAGTTATTATGCGAGGAGCATTCGATGCAAAATGTTAAAAATCTAAATGGCATTATTCGTTACAATTAATATCAAAGCGGGACTTTTCAAAGAGATCGACATTTTTTCGTCAGCAATTGAGAAAACATCAGTTTCATAATAAGTTGGTATTTGCTTGAAGTTAGTATTTTTAGTCGAAAAGGTTTGTGAATGTATATTTTTTGTCACGCAGGTCCTATTTCAAATACTAGTTGGATGGTAATATTTATATATTTACTATATAATATTTATTTTTACAATATACTTTTAGATCGTATAGTTTTCATAAAGTACGACTTCTATTTAAATATTGAAAAAAAAATTTGGATCAAGCCTTCTCAAATTGTCTAATCATTTGCTTATATGCCTCCAAATCTTTAGAAAAGTAATTTTATGGTATAATAACATATTCGTAAGGAGTGCATTTATTTAAATTAAATTTTCATTAATACAATACTCGTATGTTTTTTACAAAATATTTTAGAATAAAGAAAATATATTAATGATATATATAGCCACATTTTTTTAACTGGATTTTGTTTTTAGCAGTTAAAAACTCTGCACTTAGCCCTAAAAATAATAATGTACTAGAAGTACCAAAAAATAGAAGTTGCTATCAGCGCAAATAGAAGTTGCAAAATGAGGATTGGTCTTCAACGCAGCTAAAGTTTATACTTGTCTGTGGGGCCAAAAACGAAAAAGTTTAATAGTATAAGCCGCTATAATAAAAAAATATTTTACAGATAACATGTACTTTCATTATTCTATAAATAAATATTGTTTGTCTAAAATTGTGCGATTTAAAAGTCATAACTTCAGTTTCAAAGTTTATCACTTTAGCACGACTTAAATGAATCATTGGGCCTAAATGAATCAAAGACTAGCAAGCTGTAAATATTATTTGTATATTATTAAAATAAAAATACTTTACTTAAACATTCTTCTTTTGAACTAGCAGTTGTGATCAATGCATTGTATTTATAGGTGAACACTGCCTGAACACTGTTTTTTATTGCTACCGTTATTTTTTAAACGTATCAATGCCATATAATATTTAATCCTGTACTCTATTCGGTATACCAGGTGTACCGGTATGAAGTGAGCGTAAAGATACAAATGTTCCGACAGGGAAGCCGAATTGCAAACGATATTGGATGGAGATGACACTTTGGGTCAAAAGCAAATGGCTGAAATGTTAAATGTTGCACAACAAACAATTTCTGGCCGTTTAAAAGCTATGGGAAAGATCCAAAAGTGTGTAAAATGGGTACCACATGAATTGAATGAAAGACAGATGGAAAACCGAAAAAACACTTGTGAAATTTTGCTTCAGACACGAAAGAAAATCGGTTTTGCATCGTATTGTTACTGGCGATGAAAAATGGTTTTATTTTAAGAATCCTAAACGGAAAAAATCATGGGTTAATCCAGGACAACCATCAACATCGACTGCAAAATCAGATCGATTCGGCAAGAAGACAATGCTGTGTGTTTGGTAGGACCAGAAAGGTTTGGTGTACCACGAGTTCCTAAAACCTGGTGAAACCGTCAATGCTGGTCGCTATGAACAACAAATAATAAATTTGAACCATGCATTGGTTCACCTGCACACAAAGCAAAACGGGTTCAGGATGCAATCAAAACACTTGGCTGGGAGCTGCTACCCCACCCACCGTATTCACCAGACTCGGCTCCTTCCGACTACCATTTGTTTTCATCGATGGGACACGCATTGGCTGAGCAGCACTTTGATTCCTACGAGGAGGTCGAAAATTGGGTGTCTAGTTGGTTTGCTTTAAAAGACGAACAATTTTTTTTGGCGTGGTATCCACAAATTGCCAGAAAGGTGGTCAAAATGTGTAGAAAGCAATGGCCAATACTTTGAATAAAATGTTTTTTACTTTCCTATTAATAATTAGTGTTTTATTTTCACCGAGAAACGCTCATTTCATACCGGTACACCTAATATATTAGGCGTACCATACCTGTATATGTTAACCGATTTTTGGGGCATAAGCTTTTTTGATATTATCGAAGCATAGTTCTGTTTCAATGGAGTCATTTACTGCCAGAAACGAATGTCCAAGCAACATACAGAACATATCTATAATAGTCTATATGTCATCAAATGTTTACAAACATCTCTGAAGATTACTTATTGAAGTATTAAAATAAATGTATTTTAAGACACAACATCGCTAAAACCCTTCTTTTTGTACAGTAGGTGGAAGGCATCAAAAGTCGCAGTGTAAGATGTGAACCCACTAAAACCACTTCTTAAGAATGGTTATCGAAGATTACAACCGCATTTAGCGATTGTAACCCTTTTCCAGTAATGAAGGGCGGAAAGGAGAGCAGATAGGCTTAGTATTTATCAAGCTAAATTTATCAAAGCTGGGTCTGTAAAACACATTTTAAAAGTATATCTAGTTATATTAACTACTTGCCATTGTGATGTGTAAACATTTTCAGAGAATTTTTTCATTAATTTCAAATTAAGTTTAGTTGGTAACTCTGCCGATTTTAAAATAAAGAGACAATTTTCGTTCGCTCTTCTAAAATGAGTTCCACAAAGTCGACCGATCTTGAGCGTTGGTGTTTGTGACTTTGGCTAACACAA